CGGATGCTACTAACCAATCCTTTGGGTCTAACAACCTTTGTCGACAATATTCATCTTTGCAACGGCTTCTTAGACCTTGGTTAATTTGTGTACATTTCTGGCCTTTTCACATTTGCTCTATTTTATCGCTTACATGTTGCTTCATTTTAATGATAAATTTAGAAATTTGTACCTTTTAGGAATTCACACAACTTAATAAACTTAAGGCTCTCCTTTGAACCTGACGAGAATTTTACATCACCATATACTTTAGCAAACAAATTCTTCCTCATTATTAAGGCATGACAGCAACATTTGTGTCTAGATTCACCAAAATGACTGAACTTTACAGCCAGCATGACTATATGACAATGCTCCGGCTCTTATATGGTACGCCAGAGATTCCATTGGTCTTTTCTCCGTGCGTCTCGCTTAAGAATACCTATTAGCCAACATTACACGAAATGAGTCTTATTCCAGACGGAGGGATTAAGTAGACCATCTATGGAAGCAGAAGCACTAAGCTATTGCGATAAACGTAATTTTATTAGTAATTGTTTGGGTTTTCCACTGTCACTCAGATACTTGCTTCAGTAGCTTATAAGTAGTTCACTAATATATCTCTAACCAACGATTAATTAGACGATAATTTCCAAATTGGACTTTCAGATCGTACCCTATTCGTCAGCATAGGATTTATGCGTAATATTTATATCCCATTATAGCATAGTTCATTTTTATCTCTTTATAATATATTTTTATAAAAAAATTCTATTTTTGAAATTTGTCGATTTTACATGTCGTTTTAACCTATGGTCTTTGTGCTCACGTTTTTGATGAGTTGAAATTCGAGTTTTCTTGTCGAGCAACGTATCTATATTATTGAATAGCGAGAAAATATTGTCGGTTCTTTCAGTATTGTAAACAGTAATAAAGACTTGGATGGATTGGAAATCTGGTATTTTACGAGATGAAACGAATGTCCAGAGTGCACTACTGGAACATATTAAGAGCCTCTTTCAAACTCCTACTTAGCTGCTCCAGTATATTCCACAGCCCCTGTATTTTATCTAGTTTGCAAATAAAGACCACACCATCTTAGTCTTCTTACCTTCAAACGATTAGTTAAGTTGGAATAATGGCCTTGAGGCAGCTGAACAATTGTATGTTATCGTTAACTAGTTTGAAGAAAATAATATTTCATAGCACTTATTTGATAATGAAAATAAACTATCCAATCTATGATAGGCAAACATGATCCTCATATAAGCTTCGAATTTACCATCCATTACTGCTTTTCATTATTCTGAGGATAAGGCTCCGAAATCTTTTTATAATGCACAAATTCGTCGCATTTTCATTTATCATCTATTTATTTTATACTTTTATGACTAGGTCACAGATTTGACTAGACTTATGTGCGAAGATTTGGACAACGCGGTCAGAGTTTGCTTCTATATTCCATCACATCATTATCATCATACTCAACGTCGGCATGAAGTCCATAAACAGCATCATCATGTCCGGCACGATCGTGTTCCAAATAAATCCATACCCACTTTTCTAAATAAAGAAATAAAGAAAAAAATAAACCTTGCGTCACTCATATCCGAGCCCATTTCATCACGGACATCTTCTTTGCCACATCTGCTTCCTCCTACAGCTGTATTGGCTCAGGAACCATTTGCTAGGCCTTGCATGCATCCACGACTGGTCCGTGAACTTGAGCGCACCGGACATGTACTCATTCACGCTTGGCGAAAAACTTCTCCTGGTTTCACCAACGAAACTTTTGGAGGTACGTTTCGGAGTTTACAACCACTTTTCATAAATTCTCTTTGAGTAGCTCTGAATTTATGCTTCGAATTCGATTCGAGCAAGCACCACCAATAGTGTGGAAAACAAGGGGGATTATTTGTCCTTTCAATTCGGTCATGCCAATACCGCCTCCTTGCCTCATCGTCCTCCTAACTTAGCACATGTTCAAGATTCGCGTCGGCAACGATGTATGCTCCTCCAAAATGACAATGCTACAGTTACCTAACTGAAAAGAGTAAAATAGAGATCACGCTCCATGATCCTTGCTCAAACATATGGTCATTGTGCGAAGGTAAGGTGAACCCTACTTTTTACTACGAAATGAGACAGCGACCTAATTTTAGGGCTTCATTTATCTACTCTTCATATCTGCGATCATGACGTTAGAATGCGCATCTTTGCATTAGAATCCCGATAACTTTAAATGCACACAAGAAGCTGATGTTCAGAGTTTGGATAGCAGGTAGAATGGTTAGGATAAGCCTGACATGTATCACACTGTGCAATCCACAAGATGGATTCAGGCCGAAGGTTTTCTACTGTGGTATTTTTTCTTTTAATCATCCTGATTACCAATATCTCCAGAAAAGCTGACGGAACACTTTTCCCGACTTTGTGAGAGAGAAAGAATTATTCTGACAGCAAATTTTCCCTGCTTTATCGTGTATTTAAGGTGTAATGACTGTGCAAAATAAACTTTTAGTGTGTTTAACCTCGATATGATTCTTTTTTTCAATCATTCGTGTAAATGCTTATCGGTGGATAAACCATTGCCTTTTTAGCCAGACGATAAAACTTTCTGATTCTGATTAATGTTTGATTGGCGAACTACAAGCTCTCTTACCCTATTTTAAACTATTCATCAACAAAGCTCTGGCTGTTCGTTTGCATTAAGTGTCAGACCGAAAACTTATGTGCATAGTTTGTTATATTTATTATATTGTAAAAGCAACTTTTATTTAAATTTAAGTGATATACAATTTGAATTCTGCTTAATTTAATTTAGTTTGATCACTTTATGGACTTAACAATTACAGCAATTTTGATAATCTAACTTAGCATGCAGATAAATTATATTGACTCAATCCTTCCGTAGGCATGCACTGCGTATTCTAAATGCCAAAGAAAGTTGGTATAGTGTGACTTGATTTTTCATTTCAGAGAGGAGTGTTTTTTCTCTTTGTACAACTTTCTATTGGTTCATTTCATAAATCGTTCATCTACCTTTTTAGAAAGCTTACATGGTGGCAACAACAAGAACCGAAAAGAAAGGTCCATCTGGCTCCTGCGCTAAATAGCAATTTCACCTTGTTCTATTTATGTCCATTGAAATTATTTTGTTTATCCATTATTTGATAGCATCATTTCGAATTAATATATCCCTCAATTTTATTATTTCATGGTCCCAGTGATTAACGTCTGCTAAACTCAGACACCTACTTTGACCCAAAGTGTATGATTGTAATATGAATAAGATAATCCGCTTGAGTGAGCTTTATAAACGCATTTCTTTTCAAATTTTACCCTCTACTCGCTAGGGCTATTCTCCTTTTTAACTCCATGTTAAATTTTGTCTATTTATCTTTTTATCTTAGTCAGGAAATCTTTATCGTGTTGCTAAACAGAAGAGTTTCAGTCCATATACCTGACTTTGGAAGTTTGAATGCCTCTTAAATTAATCGACTTTAACTGTAATCATGTAATTGTCAACGAAAATAGGAGCTAAATACCATCTCATTACTAAACCCCGTACTTACTAATAGAATTACCATTAAAGGCAAAATAAGTACCGTTCATAATCAGATTGATCAATCTAACGATTAGGATTTCAGGGTATTGACCGAATTTTAACTCTAAAACCTGAGTTGGAGGCTTGGTGCATATTGACGCTATATCGCAACACAAGCAAATTATCTATTTTTACAGACTGTTTATTTACTAAGTTTACAAATTTGTAGATATTTTTTATTAAAAACTTCAAACTTTCGTAGCTTTCATTCGAGCGAGCACAGATAAATCAGGTTGATCTATGCATCACGCTTTACTATTATTTACAATAATCCTAGGTTATTACCTCCATAATGAATTTTGAGCAGACCACAGGCATTTGGTTGTATAACATCTCGCTGAAGATGTGCGTTCATTTACCACTTCTCTATTCTCTACTGTTTGAAGCACACCTAAGTCCAGCATTAAAGGCTTTTTATGGTCTTTAATTTTAATCTAATATGTTTCCCAATCATTTGATACCTGCAATTTCAGAGTGTCGTTGGGCTGATGCGGTAATTTCTACGTAGGGAAACCTTAAGACCCATCCAGAAGATATTATTTTATCATAAACCTCTTTTAGAGGTATATGGGTCCAAAAACCCGAACTCACTAACATTTGATTAATACAGGACAGGCCAAAAATACTACATTTTGCATATTGTGGGGATTTCATATTAAATACTAAGATAAAGGACTATCTTGAAATTATCAAAGCAGCTAGCATCTTAAATAGAAGGAATGAATGCAGAAAGATGAGCATAAATTATTTAGAATTATTTGATAGGCTTGAAATAGAAGAGAGAAGAAGTCTGCAGGAATATTCGTTGAAAAAGAGAAGAAGGCTTTAACAGCCTCAATCTGGCTAGGGCTACAATACTTCAAATTAGTTGAACATGGCATGTATATATTACATGCCTAAACATGTGTCAAACTTTGATAATCTTAGCATTGTTTATTTCTGCAATGAAACATCTGCGACGATATCCACTTTTTATGAATCTTTACTCATCTGTAAGAATGTAGAGAGAGCCTGAACTAGCCAACTTAGTGCTTGGATGATTTATTAATATAGCAAAATTAACTATTTAGGTTGCTTGCCGCCTTTTCTTTGGATTTAATATATTCATGCTAGCCGTAGTTTTTCGCATGACCTGCGAAAACTTATCACGGATTCATCTAAATCACAAGACGGCTTCTTGACACAATCAAATTGTCTTCGATCCAAAGCAATCCTCATTTGGTTTCCAATAAGGCTAATTTACCACTACCTTCCGAGTAACCCTTCTTTCAAAATGA